GGATGATTGTCTAATTACTAAAATACACTGTATTTACGCTAAAAGTGCTCTATTTTCGCTAAAAACGCTAAATCATAGAGATAAGGCTAAGTATTTGTGACACTCATATCTTGCTCTGTGTTTATCCGTTTGGATCGTATTATATCTCGTTGGAAAGATTGATCGGAGCTCTAAAGCTATTGTTCCAACTTGATTTACTATGCATTAATTAAAAGTTACAGATTAACCATATATTCACAAATGTTTCTGATTTCACTCCGAACTCGTGTAGAATTTGATGCGATCATATCTTGCTCTATTTTGTGCCATTGAAGGCGTTGAATATCTCGTTTGAAAGACCATACCGAGTTCTCAACTTGTCTTCAGGCGCTGGTTTCAAAATATCAAGGGATGATTGCCTAATTACTAAAATACACTGTATTTACGCTAAAAGTGCTCTATTTTAGCTAAAAACGCTAAATCATAGAGATAAGGCTAAGTATTTGTGACACTCATATCCTGCTATGTGTTTATCCGTTTGGGGCGTATTATATCTCGTTGGAAAGATAGATCGGAGCTCTAAAGCTATTGTTCGAACTTCATTTACAATGAATTAATTAAAAGTTACAGATTAACCATATATTCACAAATGTTTCTGATTTTACTCCGAACTCGTGTAGAATTTGATGCGATCATATCTTGCTCTATTTTGTGCCGTTGAAAGCGTTTAATATCTCGTTGGAAAGATCTTACCGAGTTCTAAAACTTGTCTTCAGGCGCTGGTTTCAAAATATCAAGGGAGAATTGCCTGATTACTAAAATACACTGTATTTACGCTAAAAGTGCTCTATTTTCGGTGAAAACGCTAAATCATAGAGATAAGGCTAAGTATTTGTGACACTCATATCTTTCTGTGTGTTTATCCGTTTGGAGCGTATTATATCTCGTTGGAAAGATAGTTTGGAGCTCTAAAGCTGTTGTTCCAACTTCATTAACAATGCATTAATTAAAAGTTACAGATTAACGATATATTCACAAATGTTTCTGATTTCACTCCGAACTCGTGTAGAATTTGATGCGATCATATCTTGCTCTAATTTGTGCCGTTGAAAACGTTTAATATCTCGTTGGAATGATCTTACCGAGTTCTAAAACATGTCTGCAGGCGCTGGTTTCAAAATATCAAGGTAGGATTGCCTAATTACTAAAATACACTGTATTTACGCTAAAAGTGCTCTATTTTCGCTGAAAACGCTAAATCATAGAGATAAGGCTAAGTATTTGTGACACTCATATCTTGCTGTGTGTTTATCCGCTTGGAGCGTATTATATCTCGTTGGAAAGATAGATCAGATCTCTAAAGCTATTGCTCCAACTTCATTTACAATGCATTAATTAAAAGTAACAGATTAACCATATATTCTCAAATGTTTCTGATTTCACTCCGAACTCGTGTAGAATTTGATGCGATCATATCTTGCTCTATTTTTTGCCGTTGAATACGTTTAATATCTCGTTGCAAAGATCTTAGGGAGTTGTAAAACTTGTCTTCAGGCGCTGGTTTCAAAATATCAAGGGATGATTGCCTAATTACTAAAATACACTTTATTTACGTTAAAAGTGCTCTATTTTTGCTGAAAACGCTAAATCATATCTTGATGCGATCATATCTTGCTCTATTTAATGCCGTTGAAAGCGTTTAATATCTCGCTGGAAAGATCATACCGAGTTGTAAAACGTGTCTTCAGGCGCTGGTTTCAATTTGTTTTGGATAAAATGTAAATATATATATCCAAGAAAGTTTATGTACATACTGTACAAATTACAAAAACCCCACGGCAGTCCAACATATAGGCTGCCCACACAAAAACCACAGTTTTAGATAGATAGCCAAAGATGCTATCTATCTCCCAAAAATACAATCATTGGTAGCTAGCCATGAGGACTAGCTAACCACCCCAAAAACCGCCATTAGCTATGACAAAAAAATGGGTGCTAAACAGCCCAAAGTTTCAAAAAGTAATCATATGGACCGGGTATAAGAGATATAAAACTTTGTACACCATATACATGATCTGCGAGACCATGTCTTCCACCCTAGCAGTTGCATCCTCAGACCTAATTTCATTTCTTATCCTCCAAGTCCAGTAGACCATGTAGCATAGTGTTATTCTTATTGCTTTTGCCTTAATGTTTGCTCCATTGTGTTCCTCTTTGATCCACTTCACAGCACTTCTTAAGGTGAACATCTCCCTTGTAATTCCAAGTCAATGCTTTATCCTTCTCCAAACCTGCCCTACAAACATACAATCAAAAAATAGGTGTGAAACCGTCTCCGGTTCACCCTTACAAAAGGGGCATTCGTTAATCACATCAAGGAATCTTAAATTATCATAAGTGGGAAGCCTATTCCTTAAGGCAAGCCACATTATGAAAGAGAACTTTGGTGGTATATACGGCTTCCATATGAATGACATCCAAGCCCTAGGTGCAGCTTTAGTTCTTAGGAGGTCATACACCTTACTCGTGTCTAATTTCCCATTTTGGGAGCTCTTATTGGGAAAAGCTAACGCCATGTCAATTGTTTGAAATTTTGAGACAATAGAGTCTCGGATCAAGGCTAGCCTTTTCATCAACTGGGAGTCCCTATTGTGTGGCACAAACGTCCACACATCTCTCCCATGAAGATATACACCATGAACCCACCTAACCCAAAGGGTATCTTGTTTACAATGTATATTCCACAAAATCCGAGAGAGGAGGGCATGATTCCAAATCTTAGCATCTCTAATGCCAAGTCCTCCCTCTTCCTTTGGGAGACATACATCATCCCAAGCAACCTTAGAGTATTTTCCCCCCCAAAGAAAGACACGGCATAATCCCAAAATCCTATCAAGAATAGTTTTTGGTACCGGAAAGATACCAAGCCAAAACGATTGAACACCCTGCATAACTGACTTTATCAACTCAAGTTTTCCTGCATAAGAAAGAGATTTAGTATTCCAAGCATTAATATAATCTGTCACCGTGTCAATTAATGGAGAAAATTGAGCCACGGAGATCTTAAGAGGTGCCAACGGAATGCCTAAATATCTAACCGGGAAAGAGCCTTGTTGAAAATCCACCAATTCTAGTATTTGGGGTAATGCGTTTGCAACATTACCCCCCAAGAAAATGTTAGATTTATCATGATTTACCATAAGTCCGGATACCATACCAAAATCCTTCAAAGTTTCGGCCAAAATCTTTATGGATTTACAATCCCCTTTTGAAAAAGCACCAAATCATCCGCATATGCTAGATGTGATATCTTTAGTTGAGAGCATAGAGGATGATGTTTAAAATTGGGATCCAATGTCCTAATTAGGCGCTGGTTTCAAAAAAGCACCAAATCATCCCCTTTTGAAAAAAGCACCAAATCAGGCACTGGTTTAAAAAAGCACCAAATCAGGCGCTGGTTTCAAGATATCAAAGGATGATTGCCTAATTACTAAAATACACTGTATTTACGCAAAACGTGCTCTATTTTCGCTGAAAACGCTAAATCATAGAGATAAGGCTAAGTATTTGTGACACTCATATCTTGCTGTGTGTTTATACGTTTGGAGCGTATTATATCTCGTTGGAAAGATAGATCGGAGCTCTAAAGCTATTTTTCCAACTTCATTTACAATGCATTATTTAAAAGTTACAGATTAACCATATGTTCACAAATGTTTCTGATTTCACTCCGAACTCGTGTAGAATTTGATGCGATTATATCTTGCTCTATTTTGTGCCGTTGAAAGCGTTTAATATCTCGTTGGAAACATCCTACCGAGTTCTAAAACTTGTCTTCAGGCGCTGGTTTCAATTTTTTTTTTGGATAAAATGTAAGTATATTATAAAAATCATCCAAAAGTAACAATACATGTGTCAAAATTAACTATCTAAGCTAGTAAACTAACCTAAAATAGTAACTACCGTTCACACCCCCCCCCACCCCCACTTCACAGCAGGGGTAGGGGAGATAGGATTTTTTTGTTTCCAAAATACATTCCAAGAATGGCACGGGACATGCCCCGGCTCATTCATCAAAATACATCAAAAGCCCATAATGGGAAATTCCAGCAAAAATCATAGCCCAAGATGTCAATCTCTACAGTCCATCTTCCCAAAGCAGAAAGCTAGCAACGAAGCTCACAAAATCAGTAGCAGCAGCGCAGCCCACAAACTAGCAGCAGCAGTAAAGCCCAAAAACCAGCAGCAGCGAAGTCCACAAAAAAAAAACCCAATACCTATGCACATCCCAGCATTCGGGCTAGGGTTTAGAAAGATCAGCCCAACAGCTCATCGCATCCATCCCAGCGCCGCAGCAGTAAGCCCCCAATTTCAAATTCGAACCCACGTGTTGCTACAGTAACCGACAGGTGTCAGGCGGTCCAATCAATGCCATCAGTCAGTGCCGTTGACTTATTGAACGCCGTCGCCGGCGAGTACCGGACGGTCACAAGTAGCCCAAGAATTCAGATCCGTCACGCTCGCTCGTGACCACCCACTTCCCCCCTACCCCACCAGGTCCCGGTGGCTTCCAGGCGGTCAGGCAGGAGAGTAATAGAGTGTGTAACCAGCCGGGAAAGTAGCGTCCGGCGGTTCCAACCCCAGCACGACGGTGGTTATCCCCGGCGAAACCCAAAACGCTTTCAGGAAAACTTAACGCAACCAGAACGTCACACAACCTCGAAGATCATCTCCGGTCACCCTGTAATCGCTTCAGAGCCCCCGTTCCTCTTCTCCGGCAAAACTGTCATCCAAAACACCCTCCCCCTCCAGACCCCCCCACCTGGCTCCAGCGTCAACCAGGCTTTCCGGTGGCCAGAGAACAGAGATAGAACAAACAAAAAACAGCCGGAAATGTAACCAAGCCCAACCGGTAACCCCCCTTTCACCCCCACCCCCGCTTGACCCCGGCGACCCCAAACGGCAATGGTAGGTAGTGTTAGAGGGCGGTAGGACAGTAGCCGGACGAAAAGTAGCACCTAGCGGTTCCAACCCCAGCAGTACGGTGGTCTTCTCCGTCGACCCCAGGTTGCTTTCTAAGTAAAATACACAGAAAGAATTCCTTACCAGAGAATAACACATAGAAGGCCTTGTAGTCGCACCAATCCCCCCAGTCGTCTTCTCCGGCTATCAGCTCCCCAAATGACAAACCTTCCAGGATTCTCAAAAAGTGCTCCAGACCACCATCCATCCCCATATCCAGAATCGTACAAGTCAAACCCCTCCGAGTTGGGAACGTAACCAGACACATCACCATGACCATCAATGGAGACGGTGGTGGCTGTTGCAATTCTAGCCCTCCTTTCCGGTTGCACGAAGTTTCAAAAAACTCATAGGTCATCCGTAAGTTGAACTGTAACCATGGAACCTCAGACCCGCCGGAGCCAGGAGGGCCCCGGCGGCGGCGGCCGCCGTGTGTGGTGGTGCCGACCTGAAGAAAAACCGTGAGGGGAAGAGTCTAGCCGCGAATAGCTAGAGAGAGACGCTCTCAACTTCTCCCTCCTCGGTTTCTCTCCAGGCGCTGGTTTCAAAATATCAAGGGATGACTGCCTAATTACTAAAATACACTGTACTTACGCTAAAAGTGCTAATTTTTCGCTGAAAACACTAAATCATAGAGATTAGGCTAAGTATTTGTGACACTCATATCTTGTTGTGGGTTTATCCGTTTGGAGCGTATTAGATCTCGTAGGAAAGATAGATCAGAGCTCTAAAGCTATTGTTCCAGCTTCATTTACAATGCATTAATTAAAAGTTACAGATTAACCAGATATTCACAAATGTTTCTGATTTCACTCCGAACTCGTGTAGAATTTGATGCGATCATATCTTGGTCTATTTTGTGCCTTCAAAGCATTTAATATCTCATTAGAAAGATCTTACCGAGTTCTAAAACATGTCTTTAGGCGCTGGTTTCAAAATATCAAGGGATGATTTCCTAATTACTAAAATACACTGTATTTACGCTAACAGTGCTCTATTTTCACTGAAAACGCTAAATCATAGAGATAAGGCTAAGTATTTGTGACACTCATATCTTGCTGTGTGTTTAATCGTTTGGAGCGTATTATATCTCGTTGGAGAGATAGATCGGAGCTAATAATAATAATAATAATAATAATAATAATAATAATATTAATAATAATAATAATAATTTCAATTATAATCATAATCATCATAATATTAATAATAATAATAATAATAATAATAGTAATAATAATAATAATAATAATAATAATAATAATAATAATAATAATAATAATAATAATAATAATAATAATAATAATAATAATAATAATAATAATAAAATATGGTCTGGTTTATTTTAGTCTGGTCTGGTCTGGTGTGGTCTTGTCTGGGAACAACTACAGTCCAAGTAAAAACAACCTAAAGCTTTTGTTCCAACATCATTTACAATGCATTAATTAAAATTTACAGATTAACGATATATTCACAAATGTTTCTGATTTCATTCCGAACTCGTGTAGAATTTAATGCGATCATATCTTGCTCTATTGTGCCGTTGAAAGCGTTTATTATCTCGTTGGAAAGATCTTACCGAGTTCTATTTTTTGGATGAACAGTAAGTATATATATGGAACCATCCAAAGAGTTTATGTACATCAAAAAGGGTGAGCAAAATTGCAAGCTATCCAAAGATTGGATAACCCATCACCTCCAAAAACTATAAGCAGCTATCAAAGAAGCCAATGGCAACAGCCGCCCCTTGAAGCTAACCCCCAACAACTAAGCCAACAAAATAAGGGGTAAACAAAGTTTCAAAAAACCACCAACTCGTGTGGATAAATATTATACAAAACTTTGTACACAATGTACTTTATCCTTGCAAAAACCTCTTCTTCCTTAGGTAGGAGTCCATCAAATCTTGTTGCATTCCTGATCCTCCAAATCCAGTAGATTGAGAAGCAAAAGGCAATCCTAGCAGCCTTTGCTTGAATTGTTGCTCCACTCCTCTCCTTCTTTAGCCACTTGACAGCACTAGTCAAAGACCCCATAAGCCGTGGGAAGTGCAGCCATTCCTTCACCAAGCTCCAAACTTTACCTGTAAAAGGGCATTCAATGTATAGGTGTGGGACTGTTTCCAGCCCACCCTTGCACAAAGCACATACATTGACTACATCTAATCGGTGAAGATTGTCATATGTAGCCAACCTATTACGGAAAGCCAACCAAGTTGTAAAGGAAAACTTGGGGGGAATATAATTCTTCCAAATAAATGACATCCACCAACGGTGGGGAGCTTTAGTTCTAAGCAAATTGTAGACTTTGGAAGAACTAAGCTTACCATTGAATTGTAAAGCATTTAAACCCTGAATAGCAGCTACGGTTCCCCCAAATTTCCCCAAAAATTCATCCCTGATTGAGGCCATCTTTTTCATTAGATGTGAGTCCCTATGATGTGGGGAGAAATCCCACACATCACGGCCCTTTAGGTAAACACCATGAACCCATTTAACCCAAAGTGTATCCTTCTTGGTGTGTATATCCCAAAAAATCTTAGCAAGTAGGGCAGAGTTCCAAACTCTAGTATCATGAATTCCAAGTCCACCCTCATCCTTAGGGAGGCAAATATCAGCCCAGGAGACCCTGGAGTACTTACCACCCCAAAGGAAGATACGGAAGATAGAGGTAATCCTGTCAAGTACAGTTCTAGGGATAGGAAAAATTTGGAGCCAAAAAGAGTGAACCCCTTGTATCACAGACTTAATAAGCTCAATCCTACCAGCATATGAAAGTGTTTTAAGATTCCCAGCACTAATGAAATTAGTTACAGAGTCAAGAAGGGGAGCAAATTGTGCCACAGATACCTTTAGAGGGGCCAAGGGAACCCCAAGGTATTTGACAGGACAAGCTCCGGCTTTAAAGTCCACCAAATCAAGGATACTATTCACCTCATAATCAGCCATACCTCCAAGGAAGATATTTGATTTATCATAGTTAACTTTGAGGCCCGAAATTCTGCCAAATTCCTCCAAGGAGTCAACAAGGATCTTAATTGATGGTTTATGCCCTTTTGAGAAAAGCATTAGGTCATCCGCATAGGCAACATGAGAGATCTTTAAGCTGCCACACTTTGGATGGTACTTAAAGCATGGATCCTGTGTTCTTACATTCAACAATCTTGATAAATATTCCAAACAAAGCACAAACAGGAGGGGGGATATGGGATCCCCTTGTCTCAAACCCCTTTTCCCTTTAAAATGACCATGGAGAACTCCATTTATTGAGATGGAGTAGGAAGGTGTAGTGACACACTCCATAATCCAACCAATGAATCTCCTAGGGAATCCCAAATATGTTAACATTGAAGCCAGAAAATCCCATGATATGGTATCATAGGCTTTCTTAAGGTCAATCTTAATCATGCATCTAGGGGAGATTCTTTTCCTGGTATAGCCTTTGACCAATTCTTGGGCAATAAAGACATTATCAATCATAAGTCTTCCATCCACAAAGGCCCCTTGGGCAGGATCAATAATGTCCGGCAAACAAGGAATCAACCTCTTAGCCAAGACCTTAGTGATAACTTTGTAGATAACATTAGTGCAGGCAATTGGTCTGAAATCAGCTACTGTAGGGGAGTGATTGGTCTTAGGGATCAAAGCAATAACCGTGTGGTTGAGCTGCTTTAGAAGCCTACCAGAACCAAAGAAACCCTTGACATCCCTAATCATATCATTTCCAACAATATTCCAGTTTTCTTTGAAAAAGGCCGAGGTAAACCCATCAGGGCCAGGGGCCTTATTATCCCCTATATCAAACAAAGCCTCCTTGATATCAAGGTCAGAAAAGGGAGCAACCAAACTATCTTTAAGATTAGGTGGTAAGGTGTTACCTGAAGCCACAATATTTGGATCCAAACGAGCATTTGGGTAGTGAGTGCCGAACAAAGAAGTGTAAAAATTAACCAATTCACAAGCAACTTGGTCTAAAGATGTAGTAGGATCACCATTAGGGAGCTTAAGAGCTGTAATGGAGTTCCTAACATTGTTCTTTTTAACAATAGAGTGAAAGTATTTGGTACATTTGTCACTTTGTCCAAGATGTGTGGCTTTAGCTTTTTGTCTAAAGAAATCCTCCTCAGCCTTTTTAAGGTTAATAAGCTTTTTCTTACAAATAGCAATATCCAATTTAAGGGTCTCATCTAAAGGGGAAAGTATAGAGAGGCTAAGGAGCCCTTTATATTCCTTTTTCGAGTCCTTGACCCTCTCGGAAATGTGGCTAAAATTCCTTTTGTTTAGTTCTTTAAGAGGTTGTTTCAAATACTTCAACTTTTGGGCCAAAATGAATTGAGAGCTTCCATAGATCTCCTTACACCAAGAGGAAGTAAGTGTAGATTTGAAAGACTCATGCTTAAGCCACATGTTAAAAAATTTAAACGGTTTAGAGCCAAAGTTGTTGGTTTGACCAATAGTAACAATAGAAGCTACATGATCGAACTCAACCTCCATATCATTAAAATGTGTTGTACAAGAAATCCCATGAGTGCCCCATAAAGGGTTCATAAGGACTCTATCAAGCTTTGCCCATAGGGATCCTCTATTCCAAGTAAGGAACTCACCCGTGGATGGAGTGTCAACTAAATTTGCTTGAACTTTAAGATCATTTAACCCTTGCATTTGGTAAGCCGAGGGGGGGTAGGCCCCACCCTCTCATTGGGGCTACATACACAATTGAAATCCCCCATTACAAGCCAAGGGCTGTCAATAGTTGGATCCAAATTTGCAATGTGATCCCAAAGGACTTTCCTCTCAACAACCGAATACAAAGCATACACAAAAGTGACATAGAAGACAAGTTGAGTAGTCAAGCATTTAAACTCACAATGAATATGTTGCTTATCAATTTCAAGCACATTAGTTTGAACATAATTAGGATCCCAACAAATAGCAATACGACCACCATCAATCTTATCAAAGTTAGTTATAGATGACCAAGAAGGCCATTTACAACTTAAAAACTTGTCAAAGTTTGGGGTGTTCATTTTGGTTTCAAGTAAGCAACAAATATGTACATTATTAGATTTCACAAAATTAAAGATAAAGTTTTGTTTGGAGACCTTATTAAGGCCTCGGACATTCCATGAGGACACAATCATTAAAAGGATTTTGCGTTGGTCTTCCTCCCATTCTTCTTTGCATTCCTAGCCTCGGCCAAATGTGTTTTCTTTGGCTCCCTTGGGGTGTACCTGGTAATAAACAGCAAGTAGTATGGTAATTCAAAGAAAGATGAAGTAAAGACATACCCCTCATCAGTTAGGATGGTTCCGGGAAGATCTCCTACACATTCCTTTGTAAATGTGATGGCTTTGGTGTTTGAAGCTTGGTTTTGGACATCAAGATAGTTGTCAAGTCTCACCATCCTTTCTTTGACCTCTTCCAAATGCATGAGATGAATGTTTAGGGGCTGATCTTCCAAGAATTCAACCTTAGTAATGACATCATCAAGGTATGCATCCCTTATGTCATGAACCACCCTTGCTTTATCAAGTTT